TTACACATATTTGAATGGGTGTCCTGTGTTGTGCTATGAAATTTATTCATCACTGTGGGTCATAGTCCAAAAGATCAGAAAGATTCGGCTCTGCACAGCACTCCTCCAGAGGGTGAGGTTGTTAGAAATGGGCTTTTGGGAACATGGCTGACACCAAAACTCTTCACAACCAAAGCAGGAGACAAATGGTTTCATATTTATTCCAAAAAGCAGAATTTCATTAAAAAATTAGGGACATAAAACTATTGATGAAGGAATTGAGTATTTGTTTGAATCAAAGAGACATTTAGGGACCATCCCAAGTCACCATCACTTAAGACCATAATAGTTACTAGATACTATTTTATCCTAAAGCTCAATAACTGCTATTTATTCAGAATTTACTATAGGTTAGGCCCTGTCCTAAATGCTTCCCACATGAGATTTCTTTAACCCGTATAACAACTTGATGAGGTTGGTATTATTACCCAGTTTAAGATGAAGACACTGATACACAGAAGAGATGATCGATTCAAGTCCAGCTTCTTCATCGTCAGGTTGAATTTAGCGAGAGGGATAGCAACACCCTGCCTTCCCTCAGAGTCTGTCCCCTCAGTGATTAACAATTGTATTGTTTTCTGATGGACAGATTTTCTCTGAACCTAATAGAAACTGCTCATGCTGCAGTAGAAGCCCTTCCCCTCTTTGTCCCCTTTGTGGAGCAGAGAACATCTGGTCAGCATCTACTGACAGTGCTGCGGGGGGAGTAACTGTCCTCCTTCAGAACCAACAATCTCAGCACCTTGAAACATTTTCCCTTGGCCCTATTTCCCGAAACCCTTTAATTGTTTCTTTGTGTCTTTCCCATTCCTTTAGATTGACTCCACAGCTTAACTCCTTACCAGCCCGGATGTGGGACAGGATGAGGTTGAGGCACTTTCGGTTTCTAGTCCTCCGAATTTCCCTAAAATGGGCACTACTGAGCTGACTTCTAATCTATATTCAGCCTCAGGAGCACCTTACAACCCCTCCCAAATCCACCCACATCCAGGTCTTAGCTTCCTGTGCTTCTACTCACAACTGTAGGGAACACAGGGACCTCCAGTGACCTTCGCCTTATGTGGTGTTAAAATTTGTCATGGACTTCTTACCCTCTTCGGTGGGTCCGCAGGCCAACACCCTAACCACTGAACACATCAGTCAGGGCAAGACTGTTTTAAGTACCTAGTTGACTTCTCCATATCAGACACATTTCTTAGGAGACAAACATCATGCTTTTATCATTTCTGATTCTGCTCCATGGTCATAACCTATAATTAGCCCTTGAAACAGAAGGAACAGTATAGATACATCATAGCAACCACTGGAAAGCTCTAAAAATACACTTTTCTGATGAGAAGTAGATCTCTCTCCATTGAAGACAGCTTACCATTGAGCCAGCAGCTAAATTTCCCAAACAGATGGGGACCTTTCCAAATATAAAATGGTCCATGTCCCCAAATGTGGTACTTTGTTTTACCTATTAATAATCTTTTTGGTAACCTCTGGTTTTGAAATGCAGGTTGGTCATAATATAGCACTCGGGCCCAGCACTGACCTTCATCTTTCTATTATATCTTTTGTAGAGAACCTGCTGTGAATGTTTCACATCCAATTAATCCGTGTCCCAGCCCATGGCATTAAATGGGTCATCCTATCTTAAGACTGTTTTGAAAAGAGTTGAATGCAGTTTGGACAATCCACTCCAGCTGGGGCCGGAACAATTGAACACAAGCCTTCCGCAGAACAAAAGTTCTAAAGAGCCTCGCTTACGTGTTGTTCTGGTGCACAGCAGGCTTTTGAAATGGAGTATATCATAAGCCCTCTAAGCATCTCCTACTTTATCCACCAAGGTTGAGAGTCACTGATTTGGCTCTCTGCAGTGCCGAAGAAAAAATTCCACCTTCCTATCAGGAAGGCTTCCTATTGTCTGAACTAATAGACTGCACCAGATACGTAATTTGTGGGGCTCAGTGGAAAAATGGAAATATGAAGACCTTTGTTAGAAAATTAAGAGTTTCAGAAGAATGAGCACAGAATGTGAAAACCAACATGAAGGCCTTCTAAGGGAGGGAGCCTTTGTGACTGAGCAGGTTACATGCTCATGGGTTGCCGGGAAGTTCACTGGATCAGCAGAGCGCAGCTCATTCCTCCATCAGACCACTGAGATGGCAGATGTGGATGGAACCCTGGCTGTCATCTGGTTGAACATCCTTAGCTTGCATGTGGGGAAACCAAGGCTGAGAGAGATGAAATGAATTGATTAAGTTCCAAAATAGCTGGGGAGAGGCAAAGCCACAGACATAATGTGGAGAAGAAATATGTGGGGAAGAAAGGTATGGTTTACTTGTGACACCCAGAAACTTATAATTTCCCGTATTATGAAACTATGACATGTTGTACTTTTTTTAGTAGCTAGTTTTGTACCTTTGAGAATTCTATCACATCTCCATCAGCATTTTCCCACTAGAGAGCCTTCATGGAATGTGAGTCCTCTCTCTTTCCCCTTGGTTTCCTTCTTCACCAAATTATGTCCAGAATCTAAGTCTCATTGGCCCCAATTCAGTGATCTTTTGAAACACTTTGTAGACTGTGACCTTTCTAAACTGTATTATGCTGAAATCTAGGTTTCATCAACACACATGTAAGTGAAACAAAAGCTTCATTATTCAGTACTTGCCTTTCTACTTGCAATGCAAATATTTGCTATGTTATTTATTTTTTTTAATATATTTTATTGATTTTTTTATAGAGAGGAAGGGAGAGAGATAGAGAGTTATAAACATCGATGAGAGAGAATCATCGATCAGCTGCCTCCTGCACATCTCCTACTGGGGATATGCCCGCAACCCAGGTACATGCCCTTGGCCAGAATCGAACCTGGGACCTCTCAGTCCGCAGGCCGACGCTCTATCCACCGAGCCAAACCGGTTTCAGCTGCTATGTGATTTTTTAATATACTGTTTCATTGACAACAAACAAATGATGGTCATGACCTACTAAATTGATTTTATGAACCACTAATGGGTCATATCAACAATTCAAAAAACACTGCCTGAGTGTCTATGTTGCTTCTCTATTGGGAGGGGTAGGTGAGGACTGGAGGCATTTCACAGGAAAGCCCCTCAGAGAGTGGTGGTTAAACATTTCCCAGCACACACTGCCCCTACCTATCCTACTCCTATTTCTTCGTGGCTCCTCCATACTCTTAGTTGAAGATCACTGGCCTTCTGTTTACTTCATGGGATTCTCCAAGCTACTTCCTGCCTCAGAGCCTTTGCTGCTGCCTTTTCCTTGCCCTGAAATGCTCCATTTCTTCCTCCTCATGACCTCTCACTCCCAACACACCTGCGATCCTTCACATAGTGCCTCTCGTGGTTGGGCAAATATGATAGTCATCGTGAAATGCCAGGTGATCAGCTCCAGAGTTTGTGCCTCAACCATCCCTCCCACTGCTGCTGGAGAGAATGAAATCATAACACAGGGAGGGTTTTATCATCTGAGAAGAATTGCGCTGGGGGGTCAGGCATGAGTCCCTCAGGCAGCCCAGAGCTGCAGAGAGCATGGAGAGAGTCATCAGAAAGACGCTTCAAATGGGTGAGGGAGCGTTCTCCTCTTCTTTGTGATAAAGGGAGTATGAGGGATGTGCCTTAGTGTATCAGAGCCCACAGGGGTAGGGAGTGTGAGCCTGTAGGACCTATGCATGCTATATAATCAGAGAAGTAAAATAATAGCATTACTAACAGATATGGGTGTAGCCTTCCACTAACTTACTTTGCAATGGGGGACATTGTGCACATACACACAAACATACTTGCATGCGCACAGGTACACACCCATGAGCATGCACACATGTTACTTTGGAAAATGTTATTTTCTCATCTCACTCATTGATTCAGTTAGCAAATAATTATGCAATATTCTTTTCCATGAGAGGCACCATGTGAAGCCCAGGGATGGATACAAAGGGAAGTCTGCTGCCGTGTTTGCTCTAGATAATGTTTTGTAATAGAGATGAAATAAGTAGGTAACTGTAATCTACAAGGTTGGAGGAATTAAGGGACAATGAGAGAAATAAAGGATGAGGGGAGTTTGGTGGGAAGACATGGGGTTGGCTTCCGGGAGAACTCAGCCCGGAAGCCATGTGGCTATGAAAGGAAGGTAATTCAGGTCAAAAGAAGAGCTTGGCATCAGTGGGCAAGAGGTTTGGGCCTCTGAAGAGGTGAGAAAATGCTAGAACGATAGATAAAGACTAGATTGTCAGGGTGTGGAGAGGGTTCTAAAGGTCAGGCCATACATGGCATTTTGCATTTATTTTTTAGGCAATGGGAACCCTTTGGGGAGTTTTGATTGGCAGACCATCTAGCAAGGTGCCGAGTACATAGTGCACAGACAATCAATATTTGTTCAGGGAAAGGAATCATAATGGCTAAACTTTATTGGGTGCTTGCTAAATGCCAGGCAGTTTTCTAGACATTTACACATGTTTAGCTATGCATGCACTTCTCCCAGAGCCCATGGGATAGTTACTCCACCTCCATCTCCCAGATGAGAAAACTGGGACTCAGAGAAGCTAAGTGACTTGCCGAAGGTTGTGACAAACGAGTAGGCATCTGACCTTTATGCTGCTATGCAATTTGAAAAAGAGAGAGGAAAAAAAGAAAGGAAAGAAGAGAAAAGAGTTATGCTCCAATGTTTTCCTTAAGAGAGGAAGCTGTGATGGGCCCAGGAGGAAAATAGCAGAGGAAAAGGGTGGGATGGAAGTAAGAAACATTCCAAAGATAGAGTCCACAGGAATCTGTTATTATTTGACATAGGACGCCTGAGAGAGGGAAGGGCTGAGAAGGCTCAGGGTTTCTAACTTCAGTAACTGGGTGGTGGTGAAACTATTAAATTGGAGAGAGGGAAGAGGACAGCTTGCTTTTAGGTGAAGTGCACGGAAATCTGGGGACTCTGAACCCCAAAAAGCAGCCCCAGGAGACGTGTTTTGAAAGACAAGCTTCAGGCTCCTGGGCGGTGTCACCTCCCCTGCTCTGGGGCTCTGGAGTTGGGCCTGGGAATCTCGAGGCTCTCCCTTTCTGTGTTTATATCATTCAGCAGGGAAAGGATTGTTAATGACTAATCTGTGTCCGGAGGCACGGAGCCAAGGAAGAGATGCTGCTGGGCTGGGAGGCCCGTGGTCACCCACAGCTTTTGCTAGAACTCCCTCCTCCTCTTCACTCCGCTGTCTCCTGGATTCACACCAACGCAAACTCAGATCCTGAGCATTGGTAGAAAAATTGCTGGGATTTGGAGAGGAAGACTGGACTCGGAATGCTCCCAAGGCCTTGAAAGTTCAGCTCCAACCTGAGACAATCGAGTGAGTACCTAATTCCATCTCAACGCCACCGAGGGGCGGTTGTCCTTAAAAGTTTCTCTTTAACATCAGGAAATTTGGTCAACAAAGAAATGCTAGGTTAGTAGAATTTGATAGAAAATCCTGAAAATTACAAAGAAAAAGAAATTCTGAAAAGCAATCAAAAAGAAGCTTAATGGGCCTAACCTGACCTAACTGAAACCTAAGTTGTTGACCTTTTTGAACAATTATTTAGAAATATCTTCTAACATGTGGTCGCCCAGCAGAATCCCTGGGGACAGTACATTTTGGAAACGTCTCTGTTCTGTTTCCATAGATAATGTGCCTTGTATAGTGTGCTCTATTTTGGTGATTTATCAAATCTTGGTGTGAATATTGCTAATCACTTGGAAAGTAGGCATAGGACAGTGTTTAAGCTACGCTCAATTGAAATAAAAGTTTTTCCTAGAAGAGCGGGTTTAAAAGGCTTTCTCTTTTGACCTTCCTTGTACACACTTCTATTGCTTTTCATTTCTCCTATGAATAGCAGATGGAAATATTTTAAGAAGGTGGAGAACGTTAGGAAGAACTTTATTATTAAAATTGTCCAGGTCTGAATCTACAGATAAGGCCTCTCCTTGTCGGCTTACTGCCGGAGGGAATTAGCAATGATGAGGTGAGCCTAGATCATTTCTCCCAATGGAGTTTCTCTTTAGAAGCGAGGGGGCTGGAGGGCATGTACATGACTCACTTTGGATTCTTTCTCTGAGAAGCACATCTAGCTCTCAAGAAATCTGATTTTGCCCTAGGGCCACCTTGGGTCTACCTTCAAGAGGGATAGAGAAAGATGTTGGGGAACGATCGCTGGGTTTCTAGCTGTCACAGACACCTTCGTCTTTGAGTCGCCCCCCACCCTCCAAATCATGGACCTGTGCCATGTGCACCGTGGACTTTTCTGTTTTGCTGAGAATGTTGCAATATGGCTGATGCAACTCCGAGTCAGCTGAGAGAGAGCGGGCCAGGGATGACACTCTCTTGTCCTGAGACCCTTCCTCAGGACTTGCCTGGGCATTTTCCATCACGCACCTCTGCCCTGTCCCCCCGGTTGGAGAGGGAAAGTAATGTCATCCTTGTTCTTCTTCTTCTTTCCACGTTTCCCAAATCTGGCCAGTTGTGATGGCACACCCACTAGCTGTGAGCCCCTGAGATCGTGGGAAGGAAAAGAAATGTGTGCACATGAGTGTGTGGCGCAGCTCACTCTGATTCAGTGTCTACCGACAGGTCACAAGCTTTACCAAAATTGCTCGTTTCCTTCTCACAATAGCACCGCATGGAAGTTTTTCTTATACTCATAGTACAGATGAGGAAACTGAGGCTCAAAGAGGACAAATAACCTGTCCCTGGTCACACCGTTAGGACAAGCGGGATCTGAAGATGAGGGCGGGTCTTTCTGGCTCCAAAGTCTTTTTGTTGCTGCTCTGATATTATTGGGGGCTGGGAAAACTTGGAATCTGGGATGATAGCAGATCAAGTTGACCTGCCTGCGAATAATTCAGCGTAACAGGGGTAAATGGTTAAGCCCCAGTACAACTTTGAATATTCGTAGGGCATTTTCTAATGATTGTACCATGAGCAGGGGAAGTGGAGGGTTTTCAGCACTATTTGCTTTAACCCAGAGGTCGATCCAGGAGAGCTGATGGGAGACTTCAGTTATCAGCATTTTAATGAAAGACTGCAAGAACTTGCCATGGTGGTGTGATTAGGGATGTCTGAGAGGAGCTCAGAACTGCTATGGGTCACAGAGCCTGTGGATTATGAATGCTGCGAGAATACAAAAAGCTCATGTTGTCATTACATGGGGAGATAAAGGAAAGAGTAAAGATTTTATATATATATGTCTTGATTTCAGAGAGGAAGGGAAGGAGAGAGAGAGATAGAAACATCAATGTTGAGAGAGAATTATTGACCGGCTGCCTCCTGCATGCTCCATACTGGGGATCAAGCCTGCAATCCAGGAGTATGCCCTGACTGGGAATCAAACTGTGACCTTCTGGTTCATAGGTCAGTGCTCAACCACTGAGCTGCATCAGCCAGGCAAATATGTTCTTTTCTTGGGAGGGAGTGCTTTCTCTTCATTTTGCTCAGTCTCATTTTTCTCTTAAATCGCAGCAGCGTAGATCACGAAGGGGCAAAAAGAAATAGAGACAATTTTTTTTCTTCCCCAGTATTTTTTACTGCCCCTATATTTTCTGTCAGTGGAGATGTAGCTATAAGGCAACACTATATGAGAGTCCTTAGTCACCAAACTGCATGGGGGAGACAAAATCACTGTATATAAAAATATCCATCCTCCTCCCTTCTCTCCCCGCTCCCTCTTCTGTCTGTATCTCCTAACCTCTTTGCCCTCCACAGTGAGGTATCTCCTCCTCCGTTTGCCCCTTCCCAGTTTTGGCAATAAAGGAACGTCTGCTTATTCTTTCTCTCCTCTTTGTAAATTTGTGTCAGTACAACGCTAATGTAATGCAACCTGATTGTGAAGGAAAATATTTCCCAGGAAATAAACTATTGCCCAAGAAAAAATACTTGCCAAGGACAAGAGAGCCTGGTCAGCATATTCTTAGGTCTAAGAATTAGAATAGACTTCTGGTGACTAAAAATGATATGTAGGAATAAAAAATAAATTTTTATTAATCTTCATTTTTTTAAGATAAAAATTCTAATAGAACTTTGAGATTTGGGTTCCCATTTTTAAATAGATTTAGAAGTCCTTTTCCTGGTCCTGGTGATCCTGAGATAACTTAGATATTTATACTTTAATTAATGTCACTAGTTCAAAGCAAAGGGGAAATAGAGCTTTGCAGTTTCAAGTCTGGCAGACTGTGTAACAGGGTTCCCTGGAAGACACTGGTCTGTGGAGAAGATGGTCTTGCTGAGCAGAGAAAAGCCCTCTGGCCTGGGGGCTCACATCTTCTCTGACCAAGCAGGGAACTGTCTACTGCCACTCCCTAGAGAGCTACCCAAGTTCTCACTGTGGATGCCAAGTCTGCCCCAGCCTGTCACTTAAGGAGCAAACGCTGGTTGTGGCCCAGTGTTAAGAGGGAAGGATAGAGTAATGTGAAAAAGGGGTGGTGTGGAGATCCTTATTCTCTTGCAGCCCAGATTTTGAATCTGAGGCCATGACTGGGCTTCAAGGGGCCAGGAGCCCTTTGATACTGTATTAAAAAATACATGCATTTTACAGAGGATTTTGAGGGCAGTGAAACTATTCTGTATGATACTATTATGGAAAACCCATAGAATATACATCACCAAGCTTGAATGAACCTTGATGTAAACTATAAACTTTGGGTGATAGATGTGTCAACACAGGTTCATCAGGTGTAACAAATGCACAAATCCAATGGATGTGGATGGTGGGAGAGGTTGTGCATTTGTGGGGACAAGGGTTATAAAAAACACCCCTCTCTCCCAGAGAATTTAAATGTGCCTGCTTATGACATCCAGTGATATAAATGGCCAAATGGAGAATAGGGAATGATATCCTCAATGAATTAATCTCATAAAAAAACACCACCTTATGACTTAGTCTAAAATCTCTCTTTCCTTTCCCCAAAGCTACTCTCCTCTACTTTCCTCTTTCAATGTTAACACATATAAAACCTCCTCAGTTTTTTCAACTGCAGCCTAATATTTGGAACTATTGATTGAGCACAGTGCATTTAGCCATTTCACTGTTGATGGTCATTAGGTGGTTTCCACCTTTTCTCCATAAGAAACTATGCTGCAGTGAACATCCTTGTGCACATGTGCAAAGATTTCCCAGGGAAGATACCTAAGAATTAGAATTGCATTTTATTTTAATGTACAGTGCTAAAAACCAGCAAAAGATTAAAAACTATGCCCCGACTGGCAATATATGAAAATGTATATTTCTATATGTTCACACCAACTTTTAAATTTATCACAATTAAAAAGGTTTGATAATCTGATAGGTGGAAATGGCAGCCAGTTACACGAATTTGCATTTTTCTAATTATTAATCAGTTCCAGACGTTTTGCATGCTTATTGGCCACTTGTATTTCCCTTTTGGTAAATTTCCTCTTTACAGCCTTTGCCAATTTCTGCCCTGGATTGTTTATCCTTTCTGTTTTTATTTATATAAGTTATTTATGTATTGTTTGTACTAATTTTTGCTGTTATTTATGTTGTAAACATTTCCTTCCAGTTTGTTTCAGATATTTAGCTTTGTTTATGGTGTCTTGATTTCTGTCCTCTTGATTTTAATGTAGTCAAATTATTCATTTTAATTTATGTTTTGTTTAGTAATGTCACTAGTTCAAAGAAAAGGAGAGATCCCTAAACTCATAAAGACCATAAATGTATTCCCCTATATTTTTCTTAATAATTTCATAATCTTAATGTCTTTCATTCACCTGACTTATTTTCAAGAATAATGCAAGATAGAAATCTCTATTCCATCTCACCCCACCAAAGGAATAGCCAATTTTCCTGGCACTGTTTCTTGAATAGGCCATCTTTCTCTCCACGGCTCGAGCTGAATTCACTAGTTCAGCATTGAGAGTGATTTATGGTTGCTCAGAATGCTATTTTCCCTTCCTATGTCTTCCCCACTACATGACTTTGCCTAGCCTAATGCCTGCTCCTTCAAGATGAAATTTAAGAATCAGCCTTCCACCTCCAGGGAGACTTTCTTCATTCTCCTAGTCACATCCCTGCTTAAAACCCACCAATGACTTTCATTTAGAATAAATCCAAAATCTCTACCCTGGCCGGCAGGCCATATGAGAGCCACCTACTCTTAGACCTGATCTCTTGCACTCTCCCTTCCTCACTCATTTCCAGCCTCACTGGGCTTTTGCTGTCTCTCCTGCACACCAAGCCCTGGCCCTTAACACTTGCTGACACTCTGCCTGGACTTTTCTTTGATGTGGCTTATTCCTTCTTATCCTCCACATCTCAGTTCAGAAGTCCGCTCTGCAGAGAGCTCTTCCCAGATCACCCT